CACCTCAGCATGGTAAGGGGGCGACAACTCAGCATAAGTCATCATTACATTTGTCCAAGTGGCAGGTTATCAAGAAAAGCAGACAAAGACCGCCTTTGACCCTTCAAAGTGTAATGATTATTGTACAGATAAATATTGTACGTAAATATAAAAGGAGAAGATTAAAAATTCTCCAGACACGACAGACAAGAATAAGACCTTACAGAAAACCTTCATTTTCCTGTTATAATTCGCAAGCCCTTATCGCTCAATATCCAGCTTTACTTTAGATTTACTTCAAATTGGTTGTTGTTAATTTCTATTTGACAACACTGGACAAAAAACAACAAAAAATGAGGATACTGGACCAACATAAAAAACACGTATTTCGTGAATACGTTTTCTGTATATTATAATAAAAAAACGTATTCACTAAACACGTTTTTCACATTTTTTTATAAAGGAAAACGTATTCCGTGAATACATTTTACAATTAAAATGTGCAGAAAACGTATTCACGTGCTTTTCATTTATTGAGTCAAGGAATGCTGTATTCTTTGAGAATGTTATGAAGGAAATGACAGAATCCAGTGCTAATAAAAGAACGTATGAAACTGCTAGAGGTTCTGTACCAGAAGGTACTGATGAAGAACTGAGACATAGTAAAAGGGTAAAAACAGCTAAAACGTTTGGACCTGATTTTATTACGTACATGTTGCATGATGAACCGGGTTCCCTTAAGGAAGCTCTGTCCAACCCAGATGGACCACTCTGGGAAGAAGCTGTAAATAGCGAAATCGAGTCCGTTATGCAAAATCATACTTGGGAGTTGGTTGATCTCCCTGATGGTTGTAAACCTTTAGGATGTAAGTGGATCCTAAAGAAGAAATATAAAGCTGATGGATCGATTGATAAGTTTAAAGCAAGATTGGTGGCCAAAGGCTTTAAACAAAAGGAAGGGTATGATTTCTTTGATACCTATTCACCTGTTACGCGTTTAGCGTCGATAAGAGTGCTTCTCTCGATTGTTGTTTTGCATAATCTTGAGATTCACCAAATGGATGTCAAAACGGCATTTTTGAATGGTGAATTGGAAGAAGAAATATACATGGAACAACCGGAAGGGTTTGTTGCACCTGGACAAGAGAGAAAGGTGTGTAAATTAATCAAATCCTTGTACGGACTGAAACAAGCTCCGAAACAATGGCATTTGAAATTTGATGACGTGATGTTGTCAAATGAGTTCAAAATCAACGAATGTGACAAATGTGTTCATGTCAAGACTACATCAAATACATTTGTAATTGTATGTCTATATGTAAACGATATATTGATCATGGGGAGTAGCCATGAAGTGATCATGGATACAAAAAGAATGTTGAAAAAAAATTTCGACATGAAAGATATGGGTTTGGCTGATGTTATTCTTAGAATAAGGATTATCACAACCCAAGATGGAATTGTCTTGTCACAATCTCATTATGTAGAGAAAGTGCTCAAGAAATTTGATACCTATGACGGTGCACAGTCTAGACATATGTGTAAGACACCCCTTGATCTCAGTATAAATCTGGAAGTCAACAAAGGTCAACCAGTGGCTCAGTTGGAATATTCACGGATAATAGGGAGTCTGATGTACTTGACAAATTGTACACGACCGGACTTGGCCTATCCGGTGACCAGGTTGAGCAGATTTACGAGCAATCCCAGTCATGAGCACTGGAATGCTTTGAGAAGGGTACTTAAGTACTTAAGGTATACCCTTGAATACGGGCTAAAATACTCGAGATATCCAGCCGTACTTGAAGGGTACTGTGATGCAAGCTGGATATCAGATTCGAGAGATTCTCGCTCCACTAGCGGATATGTTTTCTGTATTGGAGGAGGTGCAGTTTCGTGGAAATCCACAAAACAAACCTGTATAGCTCGGTCAACGATGGAATCAGAGTTCATCGCTTTTGGTAAATCTGGTGAAGAAGTCGAGTGGCTTAGAAATTTTTTATCTGATATTCCATGTTGGGATAAGACTTCGCCGCCTGTGATGATTCATTGTGATAGCCAAGCTGCTATAGGTAGAGCGCAAAGAAACTTGTATAACGGTAAGTCAAGACATATTCGTCGTAGATATAATACCGTACGCCAATTGATCACAAATGGTGTTATTTCCATTGACTATGTGAAGTCTAAGGAAAATTTGGCTGATCCTTTGACAAAAGGATTGAATAGAGACCAATTGGCAGTTTTGCTAGAGGGAATGAGCTTAAAAATCCACAATGTAAAGAATAATCATAGTGGTAACCCTACCATGCTGAGTGGAGATCCCACGAACTTGGTTCAAAGGGAAAACTAAGCTATGAAAATTCAGTTGAGCACTTGGAACATATGAATGTCCAAAGCTATTCCCTAGAGCACCCCAAGTGCAAGATATCTGTTGATTGTGGTGAGGGTAAATCATATGGACTTTTAATGAATCCCTAACCTTGTAGAGGTGGAATAAGACAGGATACTCTTGATAGGGAGGTCACCTATATAAGTGTGAAGTGTGGGTCGCTTCAAATGTAAACACTTATGAATCCATTGTATTGTCCATGGCCAAAACGGACACAACGATAGAACGAAATGAAGTTAAGACTCTATTGTGTGAATGTCATTATCTCGATGTACACTATGGAGGAATAGTTCAAGGCATTATGTCCACTAGACCGCCAGTACATCCGATGATGTTTACTAAGAAAGGTTCAAAGTCAAAAGCTACTTTTTCTGATGCAATAGATTTTTGTGAGGATTAAGCACACTAGTCTATATATATTTAATGAAACTTGTTAATACCCAATTTTGGCCTCGCCTATTAAAATATTACACATGGATATGTATTATATAAATTGTTTTATTTTAGGGCCCACAAATAACACCGCTTGTAATAATATCGGGCCCACCAAAAATATATATATAAACCCCAATGATGGACGTCAAAAAGATAGGTCTGAGGGGCTATTATTTTTTCTTCTCTCTTATTTGCAACAATAACAATGGAGAGGAGTTTTATTCTTTTTTTTCTTACGATTTAAGTTCAATATTTTTCTTCATTCAATTCGTACAAAATACACAGAAATCCAATTCAAATACAATTATCCGAATACCCTATGTTGATACAATTCCGCATATCAACAAAACTGATGTGGGGGACTGTTATGTAATTGAGTTTCATTAATTAATGGGTCCCACTATTAATTGTAATTTAATGAACAATTTGGCAAAGAAAGCTCAATCATGTGTGGAGATTCTTATTCCAATTGGGAAGATGACAACTTGCCTTTTGCTTTATTAGTTGAACTGCCAATTGGACTGCCAGACATTATCTATAGAATGGCAAGGCATTATCTGCTGGCATGACACTATAAATTGGCACTCGGCCAAACGAAGAAAAACACACCAAAGAAGAAGAGAAAAATAGAGGAAAGAAAGAGAAATGAAAGAAAAGATAGATTTATGTCCAAATATCAGATATAAAAATATCAAAAGAGAGAAACAAGTGATATTTTTATTTGTTTTAAAATATCCTTTTTATTTTTAAGTGTTCAATTCTCGATTCCGTTCCCGTTCGCCGGAGCTCGTAAATCTGGTGTGCTACAGATTTAGAGACGTTTGCCGTTGTATCTTTGGGGAAGTTACGCCTGAACCGTTAGCTGACACACGTGGCGTATTCTTCTTGCGGAAAGAGTTTTACTCGCCTCGGCTAAAATCTTTCCGTTTTTCAGTTGTATTTTATTTTTTAGTTCAATTGTAATTTTCTATTTTTAGATTATTTGTAAGAACTGAAAATACACATCAATTCGTAGGATTCTCGTGTAATTTTACACCAAATCTTCAACAAATATAATGACTATAAACGCAACATATACCGATAAATATTATATGGCAGTCTTGCACAAGATTTTGACACTCGTTGTTAAGCGTTGACTTCTTTTTCATATAATTGCTGACCTGGTTGATTTTGTCATCCATTTTTTTTTTTCAGTTGGATCATTGTTTTTAACTATATCTTCATCAATTTCGATCTCGTCCATGACGCAACGGCACCACGAAAAATGTCGGGAGGTGAATATGCTTCAATCCCAACGTCTTCGATAAGGGGGGACAATGCGGGTCAGTGAAGTGCACGTGCTGAGCGAAATGCTGTTGGCCGTTTCTACTGCCAACAAGCACCAGACCGCCTGGGCTTGGTCTTCTTCCTCGCCGGGAGAACTGGGGCTGCAGTGGCGCTGGCGGTGGACGTGTCGGCGACAGAATAAGGGTATAATCAGATTTGGAGTGGGAGTTGCTGCCATGAAAAGTGAAAATAAGTTTTTATCTTTCTACACAATTCCATTGAATCCGCTTACCGGCGATCTAATATTTATGCAAATAGATATAATCATTTTGGTTATTTACTAGATATTATATATAAAGTGTATACATACATTAATAATGGTTTGAATGGTTGACTAGGTAATTTTCTGAATTTAAATCTATGATGTTTGAAGCGGAGGTCTACTTGGGGCCCAAACTCAATGACAATTCAATCATAAGAACTAAATGATACTACCTCCTATTCATTATAAATGTCGTTTTGACTTTTTTGATTCATCCATTTTGTTATGTATCTAAACATATTAATGTCTAGATTCATAATAAAATGGATGAATCATAAAAGTCAAAACGACATTTATAATGAACAGGAGGTAGTAATTAAATTTCTCATAATGAATGCAAAATGAACTAACTAACTACCTATAATAAATAGTATATTCAAGTCCCGTAAGAGCACCCACAATGCTTTGGGTTTCTTAGAAAAAAGTTACATGCCATGTAAGAAATAGACCTAGTCTATAAAAAAGTGTTCTCCAATGCAATTAAAAGTAGACCTAGTCTAGCTTATGTGGCAATAAAAAAATGAGACTTAGTCCACACTTGGGTCTATTTTAGACACAAGTACAAACCCAAGCACTCATCATTTATTCCTCATTTAATTTTTATTTTAATAAATGAAATATACTAGAGCATTTTTATTGGTTGTCATGTATTCTAGACCTAGTACTTTTTTGTTTTGCATTGGATAGATTTTGGTTTTTTTAGTTTAGGTTTGTCCATGTCATTATGGACTTAAGTCTATTTATTTGCCACATATGCAAAAAGAGACCCAAAGCATTGTGGATGCTCTAAGCAAAAAATCAAAGTCCTACGGACTGTAAAGTGTGCGTGAGTATTTCTCTAGTTTTATTCATTTTTAAATCTTTTAACGGGTCGGGTTAGTCGGGTCATTTGACCCACAAAATAAAATGCTCGGCGCACACGCGCATCAACATTTGCCGATCGAACTTTTCGCTAGCGTCCGGCTTTGGCGTGGCGGTGACACCTAAAACCAGAGAGCTCAGACGACATCGTTTGGTCTCCCCATCTCACCATCTTCCTCAGATCGCCTGCCTCCCTCTCTCTCCATAGCTACCCCGTGAGCATCTCTCTTTCCTGAATATGCAAATTCTAGGTTTATATTTATTGGACAATGGTTGGATCACAGGGGATTCTTCTAGGGTTTTTTCTGTGAGTAGGCGTTTGTATTCTGGGGAGTGATGTAGCTGAAAATGGACATAGCAAAATTGCACGATTGTTTGGACCATTGAGTAGCATTTCCATATTGTCAATTGTTTTATGCTTTCAGGCTTATTCATGCTTTCAGATATGTATTTGATTTGTTTGTTCCTTGTTGACTGTGTTTGTGGACATTTTGATGGAGTTGGAATAGCCTTGTGCAGTGTTCTCACTGTAGCAGATGTTAATTAGTTCGGCACATTTGGGCGCAGATACCTGGTTTTCGGTGTTCTTTAGTGTCGTAGAGGATTTCAATCTCTCTGCATGTTAGATTGAATGATTAATTTTGATTGACCAAGTGGCCAAGGTTTCTAAGCTGGAGAGCTTTTAGTAATCGAAATCTAGCTATCGAAGTAGTATTTGACGTTTTGACTACTGTTTTTACTTTTTATTGAGGAATGAGGATGGTGTACTATAATGTGATTCCCTTTGGGCTTTAGGAATCTACAGTGTCATTGATTAGTAGCTATGATGTTGTTTTTCGTTTGTTGTGTGACATGCCTTTAAAGGTTGTTATATTTGAAGTGCTTGAAGAATATATGGATATTACTAAGCATATGGAGATTATCTGGGTATTACTCTTATCTTGTAAATGTTATATATACAGAAGTTGTGAAATGGTTCCTTAACTTGTAATGAAATGCTGGATGCTCACATTCACTTAAAGGAGATAGATATTTAGGGAATATTTTGAATGTTATCATCAACATAAAAAAATTATTCATAATGTCTGAATGTATTGGTAAGGTTCATAGAATTTGGGAACAAAATTATAATTACCAATACCTCCTCATTTTTTTTATTTATTTATTAATTTATTTTTTCTGTGTACTCTAGTCGTGTTAACCTCCCTGTCTGTTTAAACTGCTTTACTAATTGATTCATCTCTTAGAAATCTTTCAAAATACTCTATTATTTATATGCTACAGTTTCTATGTGCCACTACATTTTAACAAACATTGAGGATTTCTTTTCATGCGATAGATTTGAATTGCACTTTTACATCCGGAGACAGTCATGCCACAGGTCAATGGAAACTTGCTTCTCTTCTAAATTTGACCACAATAGAGTTTGGTGGTGCTGCTGATCAATCTCTGTTAATGGTTTTCACTGTATGGCTTGATTTGAACGGTTGTTTGCCATTTCTGGGTACATGTATAATCGATTTGAGTATTTATAGTTTTTAATCTTAAAACATTTGTTTAATCACTGACTCCTTGTTTTAAGCTTCATTGAGTGCCATTTTTTTTTTTTTTTCCTGGAAGTTGTGTGAACTGATAACATTATGGAGTTTCTGTTTTGTTTTCCTTTTCCAATTATCGGTGTTGGGTCTTGATTCTATAAACCTACTACCAAGTACCAAGTACCATCCCTGAGCATACTTGCCACAAAATAAACACAAGGGGCAATCTGAGCCCCCTTGTTCAATAGGCATCTCTTTCATTATCTTTTGTATTGTTATGGGAAGCTTCCCTAGTAGGAAGTTGTGAACAGCATCTTGCCTTCAGTTTTACGTTATTTCTTCTTGTATTTTAGTTTTCATTGTGGCTTTTGGACAATTTTTAATTATACACAGCCGTTTAATGTTTGAAACAGGTATACTTTCTGTACTTGAGTTCTGTTTTGGAAGATGAATATGCAGCAAGTGGTGCAGCCTAGATCTTCTAATGGATATGGCCGTCGTAAAGTTGAAAGAGATACTGCATCTAGGTTTGATACTAAGTTTCAGACTGGGAAAATAAATTCTAGCCGGATAAGTTTTGGTAAGAGTTTGCACTTTGATCTACTATCCTTATTACCATTATATTATTCTCTATTATAACTTCCAACAATGTTAGGTAAAGGAGGGGGACTTGAATCACCTTCAGGTGATCGTCTAATATACTTAACTACATGCCTCATTGGACAACAAGTCGAAGTTCATGTGCAAGATGGATCTGTTATTTCTGGATTATTTCATGCGACAAATGCAGAGGATTTTGGTATGTCGAATAATCGATGATACTTGCTGCAGAAATTTAGCCATGCACATGGGATACATCATCGAAATCGTCATCACCATTATAAGTGTTGTTATTTAATTAGTTGTTGCTTTTGTCTCGTCATGACAACTTGGCACGTGTGATGCAGGGATTGTTCTGAAAATGGCTCATGTAATTAAAGATGGTTCTCAAGGACAGAAAAATGATTTAGATTGTCCTAGCAAGCCTCCTGCTAGGACTTTTATTGTGGCAGCTAAGGATCTTGTACAAGTGATAGCAAAGGTCTTGTTCATTTGTTATACATCTAATTTTTTACTTTTGTTATTGTGGACGGCTAAATCAACGATATATTAATGCTGTTACATGAGATGGGTTTCTGTGGCAACTTTTTCATCATGGCTTTTCAAGCAGGATTTTGGAGTTCTGGTTGATTGTCCGTTCTTTACTGGAACTGAGCATATGACTGTTTGGTTT